CAAGGCCAGCAGTGATTGGGTCATGGACAGCATGGGCAAAGGGACTGACAGCTATGGTGTCACCACCGGGTTTGGTGCAACCTCCCACCGGAGAACAAAGCAAGGCGCTGCCCTTCAGAAGGAGCTAATTAGGTAAGCTAAACTTTACCGTACATCCATTTACAGTTCCTAATACATGTCAATATTTTATTAATATATATATATATATATATATATATATATTTTTTTTTTTTTTTTGTCCGATGTTAGATTAGATGTTACATTAGTTACAGCAAGAATTCTAATTTTCACCGTCACATAAGTGCTCAATTCTCAAAATCAAGATATATATTAACTAATATGAAAAAGACATTAAATATATAATACCAAGAATACGGAACCTCGTCGGATTCTGTTTATGAAAATTTCGGGGATTCGTCAATTTTGTCCATTCATCGTATGTCAAAAATTATTTAAAATTTTTTTATTTAAAATTAAACATAAACAATCATTGATAAAACTTAGACAAGATATACTATAAACGGACATAATTCGTGAATTCCTAAAATCGGTACTAAAAGTATCCGGAAAGGATCCTGTGGAATACGAAAAACGGCAGATTACTATTTTCGTTGCCTTGCAACCTATAGTTTTGACTCGGCCGAGTTGACTCGATATATGGTGAACGAGTTAGGAGAATCGTGGTTGGTGGGGTGGGGGTATGGGAATGGGGGTTTAGCAAGTGGTGCAGCGGGGACCGAGTTGAATCGGTCGAGTTGACCCCGAGGCAGAACGGGTTGACATCTCGGATTATTTTGTTCTTTTTATTTATATCTGTTTTAGTTGGAAAAGGCACAGATTTCGTGAGTTGTTGCAGTTCGAAGTTGAAAGAATTTGCTAAGCAGAATCAATTGGGACTTTACAATCTCTATCTATACATGTACATAGTTCGCATTCAACTCTAGTAAAAATGGTATTTGATAACTTTACAGTTAAAGCATGCTGTAAAAAAAGTAAAGAAATCTACTTTCAATAGATCTTACACCGGCACGTGCCGTTACAATTGACTGAAAAATATTTTTTTTTAAAGTTAATTGAGCTAATCGTTTTGGACTAATCATTTTGGACCAATTACTGTAGTTAATTAGCGTGCATATATCAAACTCTTAACTTTACACAGGTACGTGCTGTTATAATTCACTTAAAAATGTCTTTTTAAAAATTAATTAAGCTAATCATTTTGGACAAATTAACCAATTACTGCAGTTAATTTGAAGCTACCAACTTGCTACTTTTAGCTGCTTGTATCTATAAATTCTTGTTGGAGTTGGACATTTGTTTTTTAAACCCTTAATAATTTTGGATTTTTGTCAAATTATGGCTTCTAATTATGCTTTCATTTTCTTGGTTCAGATTCTTGAACGCTGGTGTGTTTGGAAGTGCTACAGAATCAGGCCACACACTACCACATCAAGCAACTAGAGCAGCCATGTTGGTCAGAATCAACACACTCCTCCAAGGCTACTCTGGCATAAGATTCGAAATCTTGGAAGCCATCACCAAGTTCTTGAACAGCAACGTCACTCCATCCTTGCCCCTACGGGGCACGATCACCGCCTCTGGTGATCTTGTCCCGCTGTCCTACATTGCCGGTTTACTCACCGGCAGGCCAAACTCCAAAGCTGTCGGACCAAACGGTCAGACCCTCAATGCCTCTGAAGCTTTTGAGCTCGTAGGGATCGATTCTGGGTTTTTCGAGTTGCAGCCTAAAGAAGGGTTAGCTCTTGTGAACGGTACTGCTGTTGGTTCTGGCTTGGCTTCCACGGTTCTTTTCGAGACCAACATTTTGGCGTTGCTTGCGGAGATTTTGTCAGCGATTTTTGCTGAAGTGATGCAGGGGAAGCCGGAGTTTACTGATCACTTGACGCACAAGTTGAAGCACCACCCTGGACAGATTGAGGCCGCTGCAATTATGGAACATATTTTGGATGGCAGCTCTTATGTGAAAGCTGCTAAGAAGTTGCATGAGCAGGATCCCTTGCAGAAGCCAAAGCAGGATCGCTATGCTCTCCGAACATCACCTCAGTGGCTAGGACCTCAAATTGAAGTGATTCGTTACTCCACCAAATCCATTGAGAGGGAGATAAACTCAGTTAACGACAACCCTTTGATCGATGTTTCGAGGAACAAGGCCTTGCACGGAGGCAACTTCCAGGGGACCCCAATTGGAGTTTCCATGGACAACACTCGCTTGGCGATTGCCTCCATTGGGAAGCTCATGTTTGCGCAATTTTCCGAGCTTGTCAATGACTTCTACAACAATGGTTTGCCTTCAAACCTGTCCGGAGGCAGGAATCCTAGCTTGGATTACGGCTTCAAGGGGGCTGAAATCGCCATGGCATCTTATTGTTCCGAGCTGCAGTTTCTCGCAAATCCGGTTACTAACCATGTCCAGAGTGCTGAGCAGCACAACCAAGATGTTAACTCTTTGGGGTTGATCTCTTCAAGAAAGACAGCTGAAGCGGTTGATATCTTGAAGCTCATGTCTTCCACATTTTTGGTTGCGCTTTGTCAGTCCGTCGATTTGAGGCATTTGGAGGAGAACTTGAGGAACACCGTAAAGAACACGGTGAGCCAAGTCGCAAAGAGGACTTTAACAACTGGGGTAAATGGGGAGCTTCACCCCTCAAGATTCTGCGAGAAGGATCTCCTCAAAGTTGTCGATAGGGAGTATGTTTTTGCCTATATTGATGACCCCTGCAGCGCCACTTATCCATTGATGCAAAAACTGAGGCAAGTGCTTGTTGAGCATGCTTTGACAAATGGCGAGAGTGAGAAGAATGCAAGCACTTCAATCTTCCAAAAAATCGGAGCTTTTGAGGAAGAGCTGAAAGCGCTTTTGCCTAAAGAGGTGGAGAGTGCAAGGAGTGCAATTGAGAGCGGAAACGCTGCAGTTCCAAACAGGATTGCGGAATGCAGGTCTTATCCCTTGTACAAATTTGTGAGGGAGGAGTTGGGAGGAGAGTACCTGACCGGGGAGAAGGTCAGGTCACCGGGCGAGGAGTGTGACAAGGTGTTCCAAGCTATCTGCCAGGGAAAGATTATCGACCCGATTCTAGGTTGCCTCGAGGGTTGGAACGGCGCACCTCTTCCTATCTGTTAGAATTTTTGTTTCGGCTTGAGTGCTGCATTCCAGTCCATTCAACTTCATCTGTGTCCATAAGTTTGATTGCATTGCTGGTTAATTAGTTTGTGTGACTATACCTATTTTACCTAATAAAATTTACAATTTGAAATCTCTATTTTCTTTGTCATTACTTGTTGCAATCTTGTTGATATCAAATTTGCTTTTGGGAATTTGAGTTCACTGAGAAATTTGGCAGAAAAGTTGTTAAAAATCATACCAGACCTTATATGTCAATAGTCATTTGATGAGAGAGATAGAGAAAAAAGGATATGCGACACATATCAATCATGAGAGTTTGACACATATCAATCATGAGAGTTTTTATTGTATGATCATACCCGACGACTGTGTTTTGGCCCAACAGCCTTCACCATGTGACGTCTAAACCAAGGGCTTTTATTTGATTATAGGTAAGTTTCTCTCGAGCCAAAAGACTTGTCCTATCCAAGACAAGTTTCCACATTTTCGATCAATATTTTTTGGTGAGCTGAAGTTATGAAATCTTTATTTGTTCCTTTCAGTAATGTTGAAATAACTCGACCTTTCAGAATTAATTATTTGACAAAACAGAATAATCACATCCTCCCAACCAAATTTTGATCTGTTACTCAACTTGCTTTCGCATTAACACTAAAATATGGCTTCTCCAACTTAACCACTTATACTTTGAGGTCTAAAATCTGCCCAATATCTATCCATACCTTGTTCTGTTTACAGGGACGGAGCTACCATGGGCCTAGGGGGGCGGATGCCCCCACTGAGATTTTTCTGACGCTGGGATGCTGCTCAAATTGAGCTGGGTTTGCAGCAGCAGAGCCCCCACTGAACTGATCTAGTTCTGCTCTCCGACCTGGTTCTGCAGAAGCAGAGCTGGGTCTTATATATTTTTTTTTAAAATCTAGGCCAAAACGACGTCGTTTTGGTCCTGGTACAAAAAAAAATAAACGAAACGGCGTCGTTTCGTATATGTTAACAAAAAAAAAAAAAGTATGTTAAAGGTGGACTGTGGCGTGGGGACAAGAGGTCCCCCCTTTAATCCCTAACCCATTCCCTGATTCCTTCCCATCTCTCTGTTCCTTTTTATTTCCCTTCCCAAATAGAGAGCAGCGTGGTGCTGCTCTCTTTCCCCAAATTCCCAACATCTTGAAACTGAACGGAACAGGAGGAGCAAGGTGCTATTCCCAGCCACGCCAACAGTCAGCCACTGCAGCCAGCTACTCTCTAGCCGACATATATATATTTATGGTAAAATTCTTAATTCCTAAATCTATAATCCCTAACCCTAATTAATTATTTAAGACAAATTTTTGTTTAATTGGTATAGAAATATAGAATCATATGGTAATTGGTTATTGATTATTGATATGAATTCTATGATTATTGATGAATGAAATTATGAAATTACGAATTCTATGAATATGGGTATACATTTATTCATATGATTAGTTGAATTAAATGTTTATTTGTTGAAGAATTTGTATGCTTATTGGTATTGCCATATTGGTTAATTGAATTGTTGCCTAGGTTGGATATGGATTAGTTATGTGGTATACTCTAGGATTAAGAGTCTAAGAATTTTATTGAGATTTTTATTCTATAAATTCTACAAATTATGTATGAACCTTATATGTTATTGGTATCAATATGATTGACTTTGCAGACTAAAACATCATGGAGAGGTTTTTCAAAAAAATATCAGTGCCGCCATCCCCAGTTATTGAGAAAAATGATGATACTTGGGGACAAGATAGTACATAATTTATTTTATCAAATCTTCCATCAGATCCTGGTAAGCGAATTCGAATTTTGGATTACAATCCTAATATTCGATCAAGTACGAAGAGCGTATGTGCTAGCTGGTCCTCAACAACCTAAAACCCATAATTTTCCTTACAAGAAATATGGAGACACGCAAAGACGATTCAACCCTGCTTGGTTTGATGATTTTCCTACTTGGTTGGAATATAGTGTAGAAAAAGATGCTGCCTTTTGTCTGTGTTGCTACCTTTTTAAACCAAACATTGGAGAACAAGCAGGTGGTGATTTCTTTGTTGGAGAAGGATTTTCTAACTGGAAGAAGAAAGAAAGACTTCTAACTCATATTGGAGGCGTCAATAGTGCACACAATCAAGCATGGAGTAATTTTGAAGCTTTAAGGAGTCAAAAGCAACATATCTAATCTTTTTTCTCTAAAACTCATGATGAAGCTCGAATTCAATATAGAGCTCGGTTGAATGCATCAATTGATTGTTGTCGATTTCTTTTGAGACAAGGGCTTGCATTTCGTGGTAATAATGAATCTGAACATTCAATCAACCATGGAAACTTTCTTGAGCTTCTACAGTTTCTTGCCGACCACAATGAGGATGTGAAAGCCGTTACTTTGAAAAATGCTCCGGAGAATCACAAATTGACATCACCAGATATTCAAAAAGACATTGTAAATGCTTGTGCAACTGAGACCATCAAGACTATTATTAAAGACATTGGCACTTCGCTGTTCTCTATTTTGATTGATGAATCTCGCGACGTATCAACGAAGGAACAAATGGCTATTGTATTGCGCTATGTGGACAAGAATGGGCATGTCGTTGAGCGTTTTATTGGCATTGAGCATGTTACTAGTACTGCTGCTCTTTCACTCAAGGAAACCATTGATGAGGTATTTTCTAGGCATAAATTGAGCATGTCTAGGTTGCGTGGGCAAGGTTACGATGGGGCCAGCAATATGCAAGGTGAGTTCAATGGTATTAAAGCTCTTATTATGAAAGACAGTGGTTGTGCCTATTATATTCATTGCTTTGCACATCAACGTCAATTAGCTCTTGTAGCTGTGGCAAAGAAGAACATCCAAATTGAGTCTCTTTTTAGTATAGTTACTATTTTGGTAAATGTTGTTGGAGCTTCATCGAAGCGTTGTGATCTTCTTCGAGAGAAGCAATCTATTGCAGTTATTGAAGCACTTAACAGTGGTGAGTTTACAAGTGGGAAAGGCAAAAATCAAGAAACTACTTTGAAACGTGCTGGAGAAACACATTGGGGTTCACACTTTGGTACTTTAGTAAGTATCATGACTATGTTTTCATCCATACTTGATGTACTTGAAGTAATAGCAGATGATGGAGTAAGCTCTCAACAAAGATGTGAAGTGAATAATTTATTGGATTCCATGCAATCATTTAATTTTGTGTTTAATCTACACTTGATGAAAGATATACTAGGAATAACCAATGAATTGTCACAAGCATTGCAAAGGAAGGATCAGGATATTGTAAATGCAATGAAGTTGGTTGGAGTTTGTAAGCAAAGGTTGGAGATAATGAGGAAAAGTGGTTGGGATTCTTTACTTAGTGAAGTCTCAGAATTTTGTCTTAAACATGATATTGATGTGCCTAATATGGATGATATGTTTCTTTCTCGAAGGCGAGGGCAACGAAAAGCACAAGCAGTCACAAATATGCATCATTATTGTGTTGGGATATTTTATGTTGTTTTGGATTGGCAGCTTCAAGAACTAAATAATCGTTTCAATGAGACCAACACTGAGTTACTTCTTTGTTTGGCATGTTTATGTCCAACCGACTCTTTCTCTGCTTTTGATAGCCAAAAGCTATTGCGTCTTGCCCAGTTTTATCCTAAAGACTTCTCTATGAATGAGCTGGTGATACTTAAGATTCAACTTGAGACTTACATTATGGATATGCGGTCTAGCATTGAGTTTTCAGGTTTAAAAGAGATTGGAGATCTTGCAAAAAAAATGGTTCAATGCAAAAAACACAAGGTGTATTCGCTGGTTTACTTGCTTGTGACATTAGCACTAACTCTTCCAGTTGCTACTGCAACCGTTGAAAGAGCATTTTCGGCCATGAAAATTCTGAAGAATCGATTGAGAAATCGAATGGGAGATCAATGGATGAATGATAACATGGTTATTTTTATAGAGAGAGAGATATTTGATGGTATTGGTAATGATGTTGTCATGCAACGCTTTCAGAACATGAAAACGCGTCGAGGCATATTGTAAGGGACTGTTGTATGAAAAACTTTTTGGATTAATATATAAGTATTGTGTTTAGTAAATTCTTGAGCTTTTTAATTATGACTTTGTTGTTTGAGGATGCCCCCATTCACACAAAGTTCTGGCTTCGTCCCTGTCTGTTTATGTCCATACATTGTGCTTCGTGTGTTATGTTTCAATCATACCTTCCTTCTTTTCTTATTCCCTTTTTGCTTTTTGAGCTTGACCAATCGGTTCAATTTGCTATATCGTTAGAATTGGAGAGTATTCAGCCCAAAATCAATTTAATAACAGCGAAAAGTTTCAAGATTAGTTAAACTCTTATGCGTAGCTTCCGTTTTCCGATTGGGATAATACTTTGAACAGATATATTTTGAATGTGTTGAAATTCATAGACATTCAGAGCATGTGGCACAAGGGTACATAAATTTAAACTGATGTACATAAATTCATAGATAAGGGTACTTATATAATTAGGATCCCTCAACTCATCAAAGTGTGTAATTATGGTCATTTCGTTAACTACGTCAAATTTTTTGTCAAAACGAGTTATGTTGAAAGGACCATTACTACAATTGGGTTAAAGTTAAGTGACTATTTCTCCAGTTGAATTAAAGTTGAGAAACCAATGGTAATGAATTTTTAGTTGAGGGACCATAACTGCACGTTTTGATGAGTTGAGGGACCAATGGTAATGGATTTTTAGTTGAGGGACCATTGCTCCAATTGAGTTAAAGTTAAGGGACCATAGCTACAATTTACTCTTTTAGGCCCCTGTGCGAATTTAATAAAAGATCATCCTTATTTAAAAAATAATAATCTTTTGAACAATATATTCATACAAACCTCAACAATCAATATTCAAACTTAATTGAAATCAACATCTCACTCTTACTAATTGAATAATCTCCAATTGCCATGAAATTATGATTTAGGGTTTATCCATGAACAAATGGAGCACGAATGAAAGAGAGATAATACAAAAAGTAATATACAAGTTAGTTTTTTATTGCTAGAGAAAATAAGACAATACATAAGTTTTTAGCATTGCTACAGAAAAATGAAATAAATATATTAGTTGTAGACTCCACTTACTCAATTGTAATATGGATAAAATCATATGATAATGATTTTTGTTTTAGTCCAAAATATTTTTATTAGAAAATTTAGTAATATATAGGAAGATAAAAATTTTGAGGGCCTCAGAGATTCGGAGTCCTGCCCTTTCTGCACACTACTACCAACGCAGCCTTTGGACCCCCACGTGAATATAGCACTAACATATGTCGTAATCTTCTTCTACCGAAATCGTGCATTGACTTGCATCTCATGATATGGAGCCACCATTCCGAGTTTTTCATTCGGCAGTTGTTAAGCAGCCAACTTTCCAAGTTTGAATTTTGCTTCGACAACTTTTGAAGCAGGCGACGAACGTTTGATAGTTCTTTAGCCCAAGTGGTGAGAGTGGACGAGAAAACGAATTAGAATTAGGTTACGTTAAATGTTCGCTTTCCCTGCATTGCAACGTCAAGAACAAAAGCACACATTGACGTCCAACCAACAATCTTCCAACCGTGCAAGGCGACTTTCGGGTAAACCTCTCTATACCCCAGATGCCCCAAGGTGCTCAATTCAATGCATGGTTGGTGTTGAATATATGGCCAAATTCTAGGGGTCTTTATATGTAAGCCCAACAGTCCATTTAAAGGGCCTTTTTATTTGGCCCATTGGCCCATGTGGAAAGCCACGGGAGTGGCTAGGTTTTTAATTAGGGCAGCTGCTGCCCTTTTGTTTCTGAGCAGAAAAGAAATGAGAGGTGATGCAGCCCCCATTTTGAAGAGAAGAAAGAAAGATGATTTTCTTTCTTTGTTAGTACTCACTCAATCAAAGTTGTATTTGTATATTAGCTTTGAGCTTTGTATAGAGAGGAAATTATTCACTATATTTCCTTATCTATTTGTTTCTTTGGTGAGTGAGAGCTTTTGGGTGTATTAGGGTTTGGGTTGTGAGATTGCCAACAATTTGTAAACACCCATTTGGTTGATAGTGGACTATTGGGTGAGCTCCTACTGCTCCGAGGACGTACTCCAGTTACACTGACTGTTGAGGAATCTCGTTAAAATCTTGGTGTCTTTTTTATTTTGTTCTTGCATTCCATTTGATATATTTCCTGTGGATTAGATTAAGTTGGTTCCAATTGGTTTGGTGCTATCCTAGCACAACAATTGGTATCAGAGCACTAGTTGCTCTTGGATACCATTTAGTTGCTAAAGATGTCAGACGGACAAGATGAGAATCCTTTTGGAAACAGCTCCAGGTTTGCAAGAACTACAGTGCAAAATGCGAAGTTTGAAGTGGAAAAATTTGATGGCACAAACAACTTCGGGATGTGGCAATATGAGGTCAAGGATATGTTGGCTCAACAAGATCTACTTGCCACTTTGGGAGATAAGCTGGAAGCTATGTCGAAGTCGGAATGAGAAAAATTAAATTTGTGGGCTTGCTCCACAATTTGGTTGTGCCTTGCAAAAACTCAGAAATATTTTGTGATATGGGAGACATTGGCAAATATGTTGTGGCAAAAATTAGAAGACAAATACATGACGAAGAGTGCAGAGAACCGGCTACACTTGAAGAAAAAGCTCTACTGCTTCCAATATAAAGAAGGTACAAAAATGATTAGACACCTTGATGCTTTTAATAAATTGATTGCCGATTTGATGAATTTAGATGAGGATATTAAGGATGAAGAAAAGGCTTTAATATTGTTGAATTCTTTGCCGGACTCTTATGAGCATTTTGTTAACACTATTATGCATGGGAAAGAAACTGTGAAATTTGAAGATGTGTCGAATGCCTTGATGAATTATGAAATAAGGCATAGAGATAAAAATTATGATAGTACCTCTGAAGCCTTATTTGTTAGAGGTAGATTATCGGAAATGAGATCCTTCTCTAGTAAGAAAAAATCACAGTCTCGACCTAGAGGAAATTCTAAAGGTAGAAAAAGTTTGGAAAGGGATGAATGTGTTTTTTGTCATAATAAAGGTCATTGGAAGAAAGATTGTCCTAGGTTGGAGACCAAAGGCAAAGTGAGCTTGAAAATGATTTTTCTGATTTTGCTTTAACCGTTTCCTCATCATTTTATTGTGCTACTAAGTGGGTATTGGATACGTGTTGTACTCATCATATGACTCCTCACAAGGATTGGTTTTCAAGCTTGAAAGAGTTTGATGGTGGTGTTGTTTTCATGGGAGATGACAATCCTTGCACAACAAAAAGGGTTGATACAGTTCGTTTGAAGTTGCATGATAGCATGGTTAAAGAGTTGACAGGTGTTCGATATGTACCGAATTTGAAGAAAAATCTTATTTCTTTGGGCACTTTAGAATCTAAGGGCTTCAGGTTTCATTCAGATGGGTAGACATTGAAAGTTACTTATGGTGCACTTGTTGTGATGAAAGCTCCTCGATGTGATCATTTGTATCTATTACAAGGAAGCACCGTGACAGGTGAAGCTTCTGTAGTCTCAGAAATATGGGCACATCTTATTCAGATACTACTAGATTGTGGCATATGAGATTAGGCCATGTCGGTGAGAGAGCTTTACAAGGGCTTGTGAAACAAGGTCTTCTAAAAGGTGCCACGACTTGTAAGCTTGATTTCTGCGAGCATTTTACCTTGGGGAAGCAAACTAGAGTGAAATTTGGTACTACAATACATCAGACGAAAGACATTCTTGATTATGTAAATTTGGATGTTTGGGGTCCTACATAGACTCCCTCTTTGAGTGGTAGACATTGGTTTGTGACCTTTGTTGATGATTATTCTAGAAGGTCTTGGGTCTACACTATGAAGCACAAGAATGAGGTGTTGAGCATTTTCTTGAGTTGGAAGAAAATGGTTGAGAACCATACTGGGAGAAAGATTAAGATTTTGAGATCGGATAATGATGGTGAATACACATCTGACCCTTGCAAAGAGGAAGGGATTGTGAGACATTTCAGTGTCCGGGGAACTCCACAACAAAATGGAGTTGCAGAAAGATTGAATCGAACCTTGCTTGAGAAGGTTAGATGTATGTTGTCTCAGTCGGGTTTAAGCAAGTCATTTTGGGCAGAAGCAGTTAATTATGCATGTCACATCATCAACAGGTTACCCTCAGCTGCTGTTCAAGGTAAGACACCAATGAGGTATGGACTGGAAAACCTTCTACTGATTATGATTCTATTCGTATTTTTGGTTCACCTGCTTATTTTCATGTAACTAAAAATAAACTTGATCCTAGAGCCAAAAAAGCTATCTTTCTTGGTTTTAGTAGTGGTGTTAAAGGTTACAGGTTGTGGTGCTCAGAGATGAAGAAACTTGTAATCAATAGAGATGTGACATTTGATGAAGAAAGTAGGTTCAAAGAATCTGAGAAGAATGTGAAAGATGTCCAACAAGTGTTGAAGCCATTGGTGTTGAAGCCACTGATGTTCAAAGACTTTAAGAAAATTGCTTGTAGTACTTAAAATCCTATTTCCACTGATGTTGAAGCCACTACAAATGAAGAAGTGGGAGACCAAGAGGATGTTGAAGAAGTTGAAGTTGAAGACTCTTTTCAAGATGAAGAGCAAGTTTCACCTCACGATTCTATTGCCAAGAACAGAGGAAAGAGAAATATTACCAAGCCAGCTCGGTATAGTGATTATGTTTCTTTTTCTCTTCCTATTATCACTGATGAGATTCCATCCAATTTTGAGGAAGCTATTGAGAGTGAAGAAAAGGAGAAATGATGCAATACCATGGGGTGATGAGATGAATTCTCTCTTGAAGAACAAGACTTGGGAGTTAGCTAAATTGCCTAAGGGTAAGAAAGCTATCGGTTGCAAATGGGTGTATGCCAAGAAGGAAGGTGTTGATGAGAAAAGCAATGTGAAATTCAAAGGAAGATTAGTCGCTAAAGGGTATGCACAAAAGGAGGGCATTGACTACAATGAAATCTTTTCTCCGGTTGTGAAACACTCGTCAACGCATTATGTTAGCTCTTGTTGCACAATATGATCTTGAGCTTGTGCAACTCGATGTGAAGACGGCTTTCCTACATGGTGATTTGAATGAAGAGAT